AAACGCATATGGTATGTCAATATTCTCTAATAATAAGGAGTTTGTTCAGTAGAAATAGAAAACATAACTAGTTTGAATTCCAAACGACCTTAGCGTATAACTATTTATAAATCTCATAATCCTAAATACATATTTCACCAAATCAAGTATTTTTGTGCAGGTCGAACTGTTTTTTGTTTATTTTTAAACTTTGCATCGTGTTAATACCGTATATTAAACGTATATGTTTTGTTTTGTTTTGTTTTTTCCGTTATTTACATTTCGTGTTTTTTCTGTATACATAATATATACATAAGATATACAGAAAACATATAAGTCCGGAAAATATACAATATAATCTGGTAATTTTATCTTTTCGTAATTCTTTTTTGTTTCACGATCAAACTTATATACAGAAGATATACTAATTATATACCCAACATATACATATGATATATTCACTGATTATAAACGAAACATATACTAAATAACGGTATATTTGTCGGGAACATATACAGAAGATATACTAATTGTATACATATGGCATAAAAGAAAATACACAACGGAAGATAAATCAATCTTTACATTATATAGAGAATATATTCCTAAAATATGCAAAAAACGCATTAGGGGCTAGATTTACTTTTGAATCAGATTTCATTCTCATCGATGCCCATATACATACATATACATATACATACAATTAATCCTTCCTGGCTTCATGTCCATTTTCCTCATTCTCATCTTCTCTTAAGTTTATCATACTCCTGTCATCTCTTTCAGAATCTCTATTCCTCTTCTCCCTTCTTGTACTCGAGCACCAGCAGCCAGAGGGCCTTCCTCATATGAGTAGCCTTCAAGCAACCCATTGCGAACACTTTTCTCCCGTTGAAAAGACCATCGGGGATGGCCCCGCATTCGAATAGCACCGTGCTGGAGAGTTGTCCGAGATGCCTTTCGTCAGCCCCGTCGTCGACCTGACGCCATTGTTGGGGTACCGTGTACCTTGCCCCATGCCTACTCTTCAAAAGAAGATAATGTTCAGAACAAATAAGGGAGAATTTTTCCTGTAAATTCGAATCAGATGCGAATCGAAACGAAATCCATCATGAAATGAACAGAAAATTTAAGATTGGGAAAAATAAAGCTAGAATGAGAGGAGGGTGAAAGCTTTGGAACTCCATGGCTGGCTTAAGCTATGCTGGTGGTGTGTGTGAATGCGGACGGTTTTGGCAAAAATAGTGGGCGATTTTGGAGGAGATAATAATCAAGGAGGTAATTTATTCCTTAATTAATAGATAGTTTGACTAAAATCTGAATTCCTGTAATTATTTTGTGATGATTTAGCAATTTTACAAATAAAATTGAATCAAGTGTAAAATTGTAATATAAATAAAATATTATTGTAGCAAATTCCTCTATAATCATTGGAGCAGGTTGGGCCCAAATGGGACTTTGTGGGGATTTGATATAAATAAAATTAGTTTTAATTGAATTTATTGGTAAAAATTAGTTAATTTGAATAAATTGGTTGAGTGAAGGTAGAGTGAGATTTTAAATTTATATTTAAATAATATTTAAAATATAAATTAAACTTAATGTGATGTAAAATATGAGATGAGTTGATATGAGATTGGTAAGTAGTCAAAATTATGCGGACGAATAAATAGTGAATTAAAGTTGTTAAGATGTGTGGAGATGACTGATTGATATTATTAAAGAGGGTTGAGTTTGATTAAAATTAAATTTATTTTGAGTTAAATAGTGCAGAAAAAATTATCCAATCAGTCAAATATGGTTTTAACTAAAGCCAGTTGCACTATTTTTACATAAGCATGCAAGAAATCATGTAAAGGAATTTTCTCTTCCAGTGACAATCAATATTATCCACGTGTGAATCACTTTCATCTAATCTAATTGTTAAAAAGGCTGATTCACTGTATAATTTATGATTGAAGCAGATTATAATATCTTGAAATATTTTCTCTTTTTTATTATTTGTAATTTTGAAGTTGAAAATCAATTAGTTCGAATGAAAAGGATGTCATTATGTTGGTCACGGAAGTTGAGGCAAAAGATACTTGGAATTGAATGTCAGCATTTTGCCTTGTGCGAAGTTAAATGAACGCTGCATAAGTAACAGTTGGCATTAATTTTCATTGAATTGTGGGACTCATTAATCCTTTTAAATTACCAATTAATGGGTTCTTCCATAAATACAATTATTAATACACTGATTAGACGTTAAAAGCTTCCATTTCACAACTTTTTATGTTACACAATTAAGAAAAAAAGTGTACTTAATTATGCTATCAGCCTATCACATGCACCATTCTATTATTTTTGTTGTATTTAAAACATGTCAATGCATATGAAAATATAAATATTTATTTAAAAAAGTATAACTACTTATAATTAAACTTGACTAAAAGTAATCTTATTGCCCTCATTTATGTTATTTTTCTCTATGGTGCCAATCAATACGTGAATATCACATTCATTGGATTTTGATTCTCGACTAAACTCATTTTAAGCTCCTTGAAAATTAAACAAATTGAACTACAAGCAATCAAACTCGAACATTATTTCAAGTCGATCGACTCATTTAGACCTCATCAGTCTCGAACTGTATCGGACTCTTCAAGTACCTACCCAAATTTTCATGTCATATAACATGCAATAAACCATGTCATTCCCTTAGCCTAATAATTACTCGAGATGGAAAAAATAAAAATATCCGACCCGAACAGGCTGCAGAGCCTATGGCAAAGTCATGTGGTGCATTCAAAATCAAACAATGGACCACAAAATGTCAAATTTTAAAACTTCAAAAATGATTTATTGACGTGAGCAAAATCTCAATCGAACACCCGTACCAAACATGATAGTATTCTTGAATTTGAATCAAAGGTTTTTACACAAGTTAAGTTAACTGGCAGGCATCTTTTTGAGTCTTTTGACTGCATATATCTCATCAATTGCCAAATTACAAGTTCAAATACATGCAATAATGATTTTGTTCTCTGTCCATGAGATTTTTTATTTTTTATTTTTTCCAAAACATGTCAGTCAGTTGCTTGGGAAAATGGAGATAGATATATATTGTAAACTTGTACAACAACTTTTTCAAAAATTCAAATGTTTGTTTAATTTGTGTAACTACTGCCAATGATTTTCACATCCACCATTTTCAAAATAGAATAATAATTTTGCACTAGTTTAAACTCTAAAATTTATGTATACCTAGCTGTTAATCCGAATTTAAAAGACTGAAAAGGAACAGAATTGAATTAACAAGGTTTGAGTTCAAAGTCATTCATCATATTATTATGACCCTTTTTTTTCTTCATGTTCTTAATTTCTTCATGGTTAGTGTTGTGGGTAAAAACTTATTTTATTTGATCTATAGTTTTATTCTCAAAGGCATGCAATTTGATTTCGAATACTCCAATCATCAGTATACAACTAATGATAAGTTCGATNAACACGTAAACCATAAAAAGAAATAAAAAAAAATCTATAATGAAATTGTTCATGTTGGTTGACATTTTGCATAAAACTTTTAAATTTGATACTACTTCCTATTCTTTTTAAATGTCATTTTGGCTTTGTTAACTATTATTCAAATAAATGTCGTTTTGGATCTTTTGTACATATTTTTCCATTATTACCTTTATTTAGCTAATAAATACACTACGTCTTTTCATATTCACTCTTCATTTTTTCCCAAAACATCATTCTCTATCTTCATTAAAAAGGGTTATTATTGATAAAAGAAAATATCCTTAATTAATGTGCAACTTCTTAAAACGACACTTATTATAAATAGGAGGGAGTATATGATTAATTATAGGTAATTTGCAATATTACCATCATGTAAGTATACAACTAGTACAGAGCCCGTGCGATGCACGGGGTGCACAATTTTAAGACTATTTATCCAGGCTTATAATTATATACATGAATAAAAGAAAATGTACGGGATATATATCATACGTGACCCGTGCGAAGCACGAGATATATTTATTTGGAGAATATTATATTATAAGATGCAATATTCAATAAAAGTTTTTAATACGCAAGAAATTGTACAATGTTCAATAAAAGTTTTATAATATTCAAGTGAAGTCTTAAAGTCTCTTGTACATTAAGACTACTGACAAATAATATTTTAATCAATGAGTTTCCTTTCCTTGTAGCCAAATTGTGAATGTCATTTGAGGAGTACAACAAATCGATATATAGCTGACTTGCTTTTTTCATTGTAGTTTTTTTTTTCTTTTTTTTTTTAATAAAGAATTTAAAGATATTCTAAAATATAGCAAAAATTAATTTTTTTTATTACAATTAGGAATTTACTAAATATAAACTTTCAATCTATGGTGTTAATCAACGTTTAAGTCTAAAAAATTAGGAATTTTTACCTCTTTTAATCAACGGTTAAGTCTAAAAAACAATAGAGTTATTATAATTTTTTTTCTACATCTTTTAAAACATTAAATATGGGCATGTTAGGGCTAGCTTGTAAAATAATTAATATATTATCTCACTAAAACATTTATACTAATAAAAATTTGATTTTAGCATATAAATTTATCCATTGATATAAGAGAAAGTAACAGTTTTACTTATTGTTGTTCACCATATATTACTTAATTATTATTTTATTATATAATAAAAAAGGAATATTGTTAAATAGTGTAGTAGAATTAGTATAAAATTATATGATTTTTTTTTTACAATATGAATTTAATATTTTTTTATGATTTGATAATATAAACAAATCTATACTTAACTTTGACAAATAAAACAAATAAATACTTTAGTAAGTATTTAATGTATATACTAAATAGGAATATATTTGGTATAATCAAATACCAAATATAATCAAATAAGTCAAAGTGTACATTTATATTTGGTATTTGATTTTTTTATTATTAAAATCTTTTTATTATACTTATCTTTTTAAAATAAAATAAATTAATAAATTAATTAAATAAATAAAATATTATAATATCAAAATAGTAATGACATTTAATGCAGTTGACTTTACTGGATAGTAAATATAGTAAATAGAATATCCTTTTATATAGTATAATACGAAAATAGTAATGCAATAAATGCTGTTGACTTTTCTGGCTACTTAATTTGGTAAATAGTACCCCCTTTAATATAAGTATAGATATGCAATATTTATATATGCTATATAAAGGAAAAATTAAGAGGAAAAAAATAACCGTGGACTAGAGTCAATGTAATTAGTTTTGTTCACATGCCTTATTAAGATCGCGTATACTTAATTGAAAAAATTGTAAACCTTATTGCGATTGATATGTCACATAATAGTATTATGTTAATAAGAATATCATTTGACATATATGTTTTTTTTTTTTTTCTGTGTCATCTTTATAAAAATGCTACAAGGGATGAATCGAGTCTTTACATTAAAATCATGGTACATATTTGTTTTCTACCATTCTTTATAAGCAAAATAAGTCAACACATTTCTAAATAGCAAAGTTATGCTAATATTTCTTTTGACTTCTGTTTAGATGTAAAATGGAAATTCGGAGGACATCTCAACTACACTTTTGAATATTCTACCAAAATTTAATACTCTTTTTATATGGCAAAAACAAATTGGTGGGAGTCATAACAAAAAAGTTGTACGCGAAATAGTAAATTGCTGGAATTCAAGACTTCTGAAATTCCAAATCAAATATTTTGCTCTTTTTAATAGGAAATTTTCATGTAACGGTAATACTCACACAGTAATTTTAACTGTTAGATCAACACAAATTCATATGAAGTGTTTGGTTATATGTAATCTAACTGTTAAAACTTTCTTAAGGGCACTACTTACGTGATAGGATATAAAACATTATTTTCGAACCTTTTTAGAGCTAAACCAAGTTCAGTTCATTCAACCTAAAAAACTAAACTAAGTTCAATTCGTTAACAGAATGAATTAATAAATGAGTTAGAACTCTTATTTGTTTGTTAATATTAACGAGTTGAACTTAAATCTTATGAGATTGATTATAGAAAATTAAGTAAAAACTTATATTCTCAAACAGTAACGAATTGAGTAAAGTAAAGTTCATGAGCGACTCGTTTTATTTTGACTCGTTTGACAATATTAGCTAGTTGGACTTAAATCATATAGAAAATTACATTACAATATATGTTATCAATCTTCTTGAAAACACGCAGCTACCGCTGTTTAACGCCGTTTTTATTTTCACGCCACAAGATTCCCTTTGCCGTGCGAACCCTCCATGGCCGTTAACGCCGTTACCGCCTTACAATTGCTTACACATGTACATAAAATGGGAGAAAGGAATGTGAAAGGGTTGAGTAGAGTGAGAAAGACAGAGAGAGAAAACCTGTTGCCTTGCTTTTACTGTTGTCTGCTTTTGCTTTTCACCTTCGCCAGCACTCTTATCTCAGCCCAAAATCTCCGTAAAACGGCACGGCCACGCCTTCTTATCTGAATGTGAGAGGCACATAATCGAATGTACATCTGAGATCTCTCTGTTTTTTATTTTTCTTCTTTTCACTCTCATTTCAAGTTTTCGCCACAAAAAGCCATGGGCAGTGTCTCGTCGGAGGAAGGGAGCGAGGAAAGGTGCGGAAGCTACAGCCTGAGCGCCGACGTTAGTGAGTCGGAGAGCTCGGCCGGAGACGCAGTGGAGGATGAAGGCGGCGCTCCCTCCAGTTCCGCCGGTTTTTCTTCTTTCGCGGCCGGGAGTTCTGCGCCATCGACGCCGACATTCACGTTTCCGTTGATCGGAGGGAGGGATGTGGTGGTTTTGGACGAGAAGCCGCGGAAACGGGGCTCCGATTTGTCTGGTTTGTGCTTTGCACTTTGCAGCTTGTTTTGTTTGTTCTGTTGTGAGTTTTTTATGTCAAGTTTCTCACTGAAATTAGTCACTGTTGTTGCGATGTCTCACTTGGAATTTTTGTACATTAGCATTTAACCAATAATCTGCGATTGATCTGTATTAGATATGTGTGAAATGTATATGGTCCCGAATCACTGATCTATTTTTTTCTGATAGCGCCCTTTTTAGTGAATGTTGGTTTATACATCAAATTGCTGTCGGTGGATATGTATCCCTGAGTATCACGTCCACAATACCTGCTATGTTAACTGTAGAATGGGTTTAGCTTATTGAATTTGCTATTGCCAATTTTCATAGGCTTCTGAAAGCCTTGCACAACTATTATCTGAACACTTTGAGTCGTTTTGGAACGATTGTAGAAATTGATATGATGAAAGAGAGATTCGCGAAACTTCTCCTCGGTGAAGACATGTCTGGTGGAGGTAAAGGGGTTTGTACTGCCTTAGCCATCTCAAATGCTATAACCAATCTTTCCGGTTAGTTCTCTTTGTACATATCTCAGGTTATCACTGTGTCTATTTTGTGGCCATTTCTCACTGAACCCTTTTGAGAATTGTAGCCACTGTATTCGGGCAACTGTGGAGGCTGGAGCCCATGGATCCACAGAAGAAGACAATGTGGTGCAGAGAGATGGATTGGCTCTTATCTGTCAGTGACTCGATTGTGGAACTTGTCCCCTCCATTCAGCCATATCCTGGAGGGGGAATGTACGAGGTAATGGCAACTAGGCCGCGTACTGATTTGTGCATGAACCTGCCGGCTCTCAAGAAACTGGATGCCATGCTAATTAGCATTCTTGATGGGTTTCGAAATACCGAGTTTTGTTATGTAGATCGTGGGATAGTTATGGATGAGTGCGATCGGTTCTCATCGGGGGCGTCTTCCGGTAGGCCTTCGGTTAGACAGGAGGATAAGTGGTGGCTGCCGTGTCCTAAAGTTCCCGATAAAGGTTTGTCCGAGGATGCAAGGAAAAGGTTGCAGCAGTGCAGGGATTGCACGAACCAGATATTGAAAGCAGCCATGGCTATAAACAGTAACGTGTTGGCCGAGATGGACATTCCAACCGCCTATATAGAAACCCTACCCAAGGTGATTTCCCTATTTATTTTTTTCGGTCTTGTTAACTTAAATGAAGATGTCTATAAGAAAATGTTGTGCACGTGCTTGTATGTCCTGCCTAGTTCTCTATCGTATGTGAGGTCCGGTTGTTACCTCATTTATGAACGTATATGAATACCCGCAGAGTCTGCACATGCTGAAGTTTCATTTACCTTATTCTGATGCTCTTATTTTTTTTATATTCATGATCTCGTTTTTATAAGACACGTGTTTATTTAATGCTTTTCGCTTTTGCATTTAATATCATTCCCTTTGTGGAGATGTCCCATTTGCATTTAATACCGTCTCTTATGTTGATAAAATTATAGCTGACAAATTGCATTCTGCCATAAAATTTTGGTCGCAGAATGGAAGAAGCTGTCTGGGTGACATAATCTACCGCTACATAACTGCAGATGAGTTCTCTCCTGAATGTCTTCTGGATTGCCTGGACTTGTCTTCGGAGCACCACACGGTAGATGTGGCGAACAGGATCGAGGCAGCTGTGCATGTTTGGAAGCTGAAAGAGAAAAAGAAACACCCCAACATTCAGAAACCCAAACGCAAGTCATGGGGCGGTAAAGTGAAGGGCTTGGTGGGTGATGGAGAAAAGAATCTGCTTCTTGCTCAACGAGCTGAGACTTTGCTGCACAGTCTCAGGCTCCGTTTTCCCGGTCTTCCTCAAACTGCACTTGACATGAGCAAAATCCAGTACAACAAGGTCGTTAAACCCTATCCTATATTTATTCACTTGCTTAATTTTGCTTCTTTTAGGTGAATTTGTTGTTAAAGAAAGGAAAAGCATTTAAAGGGGTTTTTTTCATGCAGGACGTGGGGCATGCCATTCTGGAGAGTTATTCACGGGTTATGGAGAGCTTAGCATTTAATGTAATTGCAAGAATTGACGATGTTGTTTACGTGGATGATGCCACGAGGCAATGTGCGGTGACGGAGGCCCTCTCGATTTTGAATAGGGGAGGAGGGTTCAATGGCCTGCCAGTGCAGAAGAAGATGTCTCCAAGCCCCTTCTCCATTCAGCACACACCTTACGTGTCTCCTTTCGCGACTCCTTTGTGCTCATCCCCTCCTTTGCCGAGCAGCCCGAGAACTACTGTTACCCCACTCGACATGAGCTCACGAGCTCTAAACCATAAGTATGATAAGGTTGTGCCGGCTGACCTGGATAAGCTCTGGTTGTATGCAGGTAATCTTAATCTTGGGTCGAGGAGGGTTACTGGGGATGCCCCAGAGCGCGACTGATAGTTTTGGGGACTTGGGAGGTGTGGTGATGATACGGGAGATTCGCGCCGCATAATATATTTTATGTATATTTGGTCTAGTGTAGTTCTTCAAGTTTTGATNTTAATTGCGTTTGTTTACTTTAAGGATGGTCTTTGTCGTAATTCTCAAATGATAGTTGCTGTCTGACAATTGCCAAGCGATAATAGTTGTCAATCAAATTTGTTGTCCAAAACATATTTTATTACTTGAGCTTTGCATAAACTTGAAAGGCTGGCTCGCACGCTTGCGAAACTTTGGGATTTTGGAACTACGAGAAAAAGAAGAAAAAAAAAAAAAACAATTTCGTCAAATATGTTTGGCTCCTCTAAATATGGTTGATTTCTACTTCATTCCTTATGTATACAAAAGGGTATAATTTTGACCTCGACTCACCGGAAAAAATTTTAAATTTGCTAGGTTCAATCTTGTAACTGTAAGCACCGCGTGGCTTTTGGCCCTTCATCCGGCAACTTTTAATAGCACAAATGCATTAATAGTGATGACAATATATGCATGAATGTGCATTTTTGCTAGGCCAAACAACAAGAAAACATTGCCTTCACCAACATAATTTCGAGGATTATGTAATCAACTAACAGCTACTCACCACCCAAGAACATCTAAAACCACAGTATCCACAGGAACAGGAGTTGCAGAAGCAAAAGTAAACTTCATGTATAAGTTCACACCAATGTTTTCATGTCAAACTCTCTTTTAATGCAGGACTCGAGCTTTTCGACTTCCTTCACAAGTCCATCACAAATCCCTCTCAATAGCTGCAGCCTTCTTTCTATCTCAAGCAGCTGCATGGATGAACTTGTCGTGTTTGGTCTCATATAGCATATTAGTTTCACCATCATTCCCTATCAACAAGTCACAAAAGTAAACTTTAGCGAGAAAAATAGGTTGATGCCCCCATTCATAATTGCAAGAAAAGAACAAAAAACGCTTCAACGTCTAATAGCCGAGCGTAATAAATAGAAGATCGTCATATATACCTCATGTTGATGCTTGCGGGAGAAGTCCCGCACTAGAGACTTTACAAGCTTATTACGAAGCGTGAGAATATCACCAAAAACATCCCCGAATATGAAGGAAGAGGTATGGTGCAGAGCAAGTAGAAATGTGACAGAGTTTCGATTAGCTGCTTTGTCGATCGAACCAGACACCCATGATTTAACATAAGCTTCCAAGATCCTCTCGTTGTCCTGCACCATCATCAAGCTCGTGAATATTTATTTAATTCATGCAACTATCATTATTCTTTATTTATTTATTTATTTTTTACCTAATTCTTGTTTTGGTAAGTTCTATTTTCAGATTCATTTTTTCTCATTGGAATTAGTCACAAAAGTTACCTATGAAGGCTTCGCCTAATTACGAAAAAGCGCCAAATAATTTTAAAAACTTAGACACGATCCCGAGACATTTGATTTGTGTCTAACAAAACCACACCCTTATGGGAAGCTATTTTTGGCTCATGCGATTATTTGTAATAAAGATAGATGGGTTCAAGGAGTAGTTTCTGTAATGACCCTTTTATTTTATCGAATTTATACTTGGTACCTCGACGGGTTCAAGAAAGCCCTCAGCTTTAGTGAAACACTTGTCCACAGGTGGCAAAAGCTCAAGCACACGGGCATTAGACAATGCATTCCACGCGGCAAGCCTCGTGGAAGCTTCGGTGGACCTGTGTAAATACAACGCAACCTGCCGCCCGAATAACAAGTCACCATAAGACTCGGCTGCAAACTGCTCCACCAAAGTCTCGATAAACGTGGCATAACTCTCGTGGATTTCTTTCCCGAATTGCAACGTGAACTTTTTCTCATTCACAACTTCACCATAAACATCCTGCAAAATCCCGTACACTTCCCTGCTCTTCTCATCCCTGAGAATTTCCATCCCCGAAAGTAAAACCGCTGACATGGCGTGCAGCTTCCAGACAACAGGGACACACGTAACAGCCGAGCAAGATAGAGTTTCAATACCCAAGAGTAAAAATAATCCCGCCCTGGAAGCTTCTAGAAAATCTAGACTTTTCTCTGTCTGAATGGACGAGATTGCACTGAGATACCAATGTGCAGGGAGGGGCAATCTCTGGCGAGCCCACTCCACACTCATAGAAGATGATAACTCTTGCCTAGTCTCTTCTGTATCTTCATAAATAGTCTCCAAAGAAGGATTTTTTTTCTTCATAACGGGGTTTTTTTCACCCGTGGATTTTCCCGTTTTCTTCTTTTTAATACCTAGCCACCTGTTCCTAAAATGAACAGCCAAGATATCTGCAAATGATGCGTATTCTCCTTCTTCGTAGTTCAATCTGTAAGATTGGGATCCTTTTCTGGAAGAAAGGAACTTTCGGATGCTCAAGTTTAGATACTTGAGAACGGGAGCCCGGAATATAAATTTCAGTAATTTATCTATAACGGGACGATTATTCCCCGGGCCCACAAATAAACAGGCCGTAAGGGCACAGTTGAGAACTTGCGTGGCATCTGATGAGACCTCGGTGTTAAAGGGTATTTCAGAAAATTCGAGCATGCAAACGAGCAGCTTTGCATCTAGCTGAGCCAAGAAATTATTCAATGACCAATAGCCACCGGCAGAGGCACCCCACCCCACCCCAACGCCTGGGGCGGGCCCACCTCTGCCGAAATTTTCAACCGGACTCATTTTTTGCCACTCATTGGCGATTAATTTTGTTAAATTACTCAGCAGAAATTGTACTTCGTCAACCCCGGACTTGAGTATCCCATCAGCAAGAATTTTATCTTCCCGTGAGAGACTCGCGAATTTAGATGGCACATTGTGAACGTCGAGATTTGCATGTCTGATTAATTCATCAACGGAAGTAGCTACTTGGAGCAGTGCCTGAAGGCAACATGTAGAAGATATTGCCAGTTCAGGTCTGTTTTTGGTCCTCAAAAGACATAAGTACTTGACGAAGGAGTCATTACTTTTTCCTGAAAACCCAAAGTATCCATTTTTAATAATTCTAAGTCCAATACTCGGGACAAATTCCGGCAGCCAAGGCAAACGGCCATTTGGCATGCTCGTAATATCCTCTGGGATCACAGCTTTCAGCAAACTGGACAGCGTATTCAAAACAGATGAAATGACCCGTAACAACGAATTTACTTTCGACTCCTGTGAGAAGTAATTCTTTCCACCATCTTTAATTTGGCATGCGGAGAGTTTCGATTTCGACACACATGGAATGCTTTTCACTTGTACCCACTCGAGAGATTGATCAATAATCGAACCAAGGAAATTCCACGAACCAGATTCTTCATCTTGCATGCGTGAATAAAAATTCGGAACTTTACCAGCTAAAACGTCCAGGAGGAGGTAAGCTTCATTTGCGATGGCACAGTATTCATCCATCATATCATTGTCAATTAACTTCTCGAATGTGGGCACACTCAACCATACGCATAGTGAAGGGAATAGATCAGAAATTTCAGAAATGCAATATCCGTAACGAAGAAAGACCTTCCAGAGACGTAGCTGCTCGACCAGCAAAGCTGATGATAATTTGCAAGCCTCCTTCCCAGATTTCATCCATTGCTCAAGAGAAAATGTGCGCCGGTACAAGTGCCAGGTCACCTTTTGCAGAATCCCTTCATTCATGAATGTCGAGCAGTTCTTCTTCTCAACCCGGGCCAACACCTTCAGAACACCAAAATAAATAAATACATAACATCAATTTTGCCGTAAAGAATTATTCCATTTATTTTGCTGTATGGTGTATAATATAAATGAAGAACGATGAGACTTTTCCACCATCTCTTTTTTTTCTTTTTTTTTTTTTTNAAAATACCAACACAAGCTAGCAAAACTTAATTCGAAAGCAATAAAAGAAGATAAACCATAAAGGCACTGCTCACTTTTAAGAGCGCAACAGATTTAATCTTGCTAAAATTTATTTCCATTTGCTCGTTAGACGTGAATCTATTGACAATCGTCTGAACAAGCCTTTCACAGTCCAAAATTGCAGCAGCACATGTAGGGGAATGCCTTGCTATGGCAATCAATATAGTTATCAAGCATTCTTCCAAAGGTGCAGCAGGATCAGTCTGGTACCACAAGAAATAATAAAATTTGTCATTTCACAAGATTACAGTTTCCCATAGTGTTGTCATGCTGGCGTAAAAAAACTCAAGACAATTAGCATCAAAAACATTTTACCTCCAAGAGATAACAGATTCTTGGAAGAATCCCCATCCTAACAAGACCGGCAGCAAAATCCTGCCCAGCAACAATTATATCATCCTGAATAGTGCGTTCGTCTTCAGCTTTTTCACTTTCCAACTCCTCACCAAAACAACGAATATTAGAAGGTTTGGTATTATACTTCCAGAAGCCACCACGAAGAAAACCGACACTAACATCTGGTTTGCTTCTAAAAACAGGAGCTGTATAAACATCCTTTGCATAAGTTGGTGTCTTCTGAATAAAACAAACAATTCACACAAGTTATGACGATAAACTCAAAATCCAATACTAGAAATGAGATTTTTTCAAGAAACAAAGTCATACCTCTAACATCTCAAATATGATTTCGTTCACATCACAGCTTAATGCACACATTATAGCTTTGGCACAAGAAAGGACCACTGAGTTGTGATTATCATCTAGGGACATTCTACAGAAATAGTATTTCACAAAACATGTTAATAAGGAGCTAAGGTTTTAAAGCATGCATGCAGGCTGTGCAGCTGCAAAAACTGTTACAGTTATACATTAGCAAGACACTTCACCTTAGTGCTAAAGCAAGCTCAGGTTCTGGACCGAGAGCAAAAGCCCAAATTGCTTCCCAGTCAGCACATTTAGCATCAACTGATTTAGAGGAAGAATCAACTTCTTTCTGACATATTCCACCAATTGCTCGATCAAGGACGGCTGCAATTAGCTGCAAAGCGAGAGTGCGCTGTCCCGGAACCTGAAAATTCCAAAAGCACCCATGATCACTGTGGAGAACACAGATTTTGTCAAACAGTTCTGCACGTTAAGCCAAAATCTAATTTTCACTAACCACACTTCTAGTTAGGGCCACTGCTTCTTTTATGGTATAACCAGCAGCACCAGGATCACCTTCGGTTCGAATAAAGTCACGTTCAGAAACATTATCAGCACTGTATACACTTTCAGACGAAGCCTTGCCTACAAAAAGAACACATGCATGCAATAAGCACCTTCTCATGGGAAATATATTGAATTAACTGGCACGTGATGGAAACAAGAAGTCAGCAGAGCCCTAAATAAATAGCAAAACATTACATATCTGATTCATCACATTATAAATCCAAATTCAATTTAGTGACACTGAATGTACGCTTCGACTAACCAGCATCTGGTACATGAGCCAAATCAACATCGATAATGTTACCATCCAAGGAAAATCTCAAGTCTCTAACATGCTCAACTCTTTTGCTCCAAGCATTCCACATGCTACGGTTTTCAGGGGTTTTATTTGGAGAAGCTCTACCATCTTTATCTAGCAGTGAGTCTCCAGGAGATAACTCCACAGGCTTTTGGGAGATAGTGTCACCAGAGCTAGCTGTTAACTCCGAGAAATATGTCTCGTGTTTCATACTATCTGCTTCATTGCCAGCAATGTCCGATGAAGAAAACTTCTGCCCCTTGACTTTTGATAGGCCCCTTTTTCTCAGGGCATTTATCAATGCTGGATCCAGCTTTGCCACTAATTCAGCTTGTGCTTCAGCAATTTCTTTGGCGGACATTTTTGCCAGTCGAGTACGGTTTTCAGCATCAATCTGGCTCTCGAGATTCTCCTTTTCTCCACCCATCAACGTCTGATGAGAAAAACCAGAATCCATCAGAGAATTTTGCATTTCCAAATCGGCTAGGATTTCCTCACTTGGCCTCTCCCGCTTGTATTTAGCAATGTCATTCTGTGATTCTTGCAGTTGGGCAATATTTCCATTGTTGCTGTCTATGAGGCTATGAACCTCCGACACAACTTCAGTTCCCGTTTCTACTTCTCTCCCGGATAAAACCTTGTCATCCCCCAGAGTCATACACGGTTCATTTACATGATCAAAGTGTGAAGTCCTATGCAACTCAGAATCTCCTGGACTGGTGAATTTCCTTTTTAAATTATCTGAATAAAATTCTTTTTCCTTCTTCTTATCGTTCAGCACAGAGTTCCCCTCGTTTTTCACTATCTCTTGCCAACGGCTAAAATTCAGTCCTTTCTTTTCCTTTCTTTCTACTGGTTTAGCAAAACCAGCAGCCATTACCATCACATCAGAGTCTCCCTCTTCTCCAACATCCTCATCCATGTCATCACTATCATTAATAGCATTAAAGTTTCCAGCTTTAGGAGCCCAATTCTGTTCAGAAACTTTAGCAAATCAATAACACAATCATACAAATTTCCCACGCTAACGTATTCAGATAAAAAAATAGTTCTTCCACCCAATTCCACAAATCAATGATGACAAATTATAGTGACAGATATATGAAGAGAACACCAAAGCAAGTGATGGCGAAAAACAGTGGAAGAAAAGCAACACATACTGGGCCGTGAGAGCGGTGGCGTGCCACCGGAAAAGGCAGAACAGAGGGCCGAGGGGCTGTCGGCGGGCCCAAAGACCGAGATGAATGGATATCGGAAAAGCCCTTTTCGACTATGCCCCCGACCAGTCGTGAAGCATCGTCTTCATTAATTTGAAGTGGGTTTGCTCCAGAAATTCTGGGTTTTTGGTTTTTGCTACCTCCGCTGTTGTCTTTCTTCATCATAGATTCCGAATTGTTTCAAAGTAATGCTTATTGTCGTGCGAAAAGGACCACTCGGTCCGCGTGTGTTGTGCTTGTCCGGTTTTTGTTCTCGTCAGAGGGAAGACTGAGGTTGAATCGGAGAGGAGCCAGCCAGCCAGGTTTTTTGCTTCATTCAGTTGCTGCCTTTCGGAAATTTGCAGAAGAAGAGAAGAAGAGAAGAAGAGAAGAAGAAGTATATGGGCCGCTTTGAAATTCATCAGAATATGGGCTTGGCAAGTTCATTTTTTGGGAGATTCTTTCAAGCTTTAAGTTTATTTGTGCCTATGGTTAATGGATTTTTCTTTCTTTTTTATTTTTTGAAANAAAAAAAAAAAATAAAAAAATTTATTGTCATTGCTATTTAATTTAATAACTTAAAACACAAACATAAATTACATCTGCAATGAATCTTTTAATTTGTTTTGCAATTCATCCAAGTAGAGTGTAAAATTTGTATGTCATCCTTGAATGATGTAGCTAGTGAAACCTTAATGTAGAACAACATAAACAAATACATTCACGAGCAACAAGTTACAAATCCCACAACAATACACAGAAAATCAAGTTATACTTAAAGGTGGAGGCCGTGGAGCAAACGACGACTCAGAAGCGAAAATTTCAAGCATGTATTGAGTTTGAAGCAAAAATTTTTGTGGGGCCCTTACGTTAAACATGAGACGAACGAGAAGAAAAGGAACTAATCTGATAGAAAAACTCCCACATCATACCTCCTAGTACGGGTTGTGGGAGGAAAAGTTATATAAATAGTAGAAATGCAATTAAAATACTCACTTACCTGGACGGGGTTATTGGGCGATCACGAAGGCCCATGACTTAGGGTGGCGGCCTCCATTACACTTTTGGAGGTGTGTCTCATCTAAGGTTGGCCCTTTTGGAGTCGAGCCTACGTCATAATTTGTGGTCGTGGGGGCCTGCGTTCTCGCGGCCCCTGCCCAATTCATAGTCTTAATTATTACACTAGGCCCATTAATCTATATGGGCCCTTGAATTGTTCTAATACTTGTCTGCCACAATGAATCTATAATCAGCCAACTGATTAAATGAAATTATTAGATAACTTAATTAAATTGCAATAACTCGTAGATGATGATAAATTAATTTGCATGTACAAGCATACCCGTTTTACATTTGTGTTTATTGTTTTACATTTGTGTTTATTAATTATTTATCGACACAAGTTACTTGGGCCTCATGTATTTGAGCAACATGCACATGTTTCATACTAGTTTTTATATTTGTGTTTATTAATTGTTTATCGACACAAGTTATTGGGCCTCGTGTATGTTAGCAAGGGCTCTATGAAGAGCCTCGTCTCTTTATCCCTGTGCGGGTGCAAGAGGCTAACAAACAGGTGCATATCGGACGTGAATTTTAGTTTCATCTCATGTTATATAAATTGGAAGAATTAAAGGAAATGGAAAGAGATTTTAGACTGTTGAAAAATTATGATTATTTGATGATTTGATCGTTAAATGTGCTTAGCATTATCTCTAAATATTGGACTCGAATAACTATAAGATACTAGTGATAAATGGTTCTTTTGTTCCCTTCACTACTATTCACCCACTTAGCAATCTAAAAGTTTGGCATTGTTATTCTCTAACTTGCGTAAATTAAGTGGCTATTAGATATGTTAAACGGGCTAGTCCTAGCGGGTTTCGGGCTAAACGGTCCGGGCCTAAAAAGCTCGGACTTAAACGGGTTACCAATAAAAGGACCTAACCCTAAACATAGCGGACTTCGAACTAAACGGGATATAATAATAATAATAATAATAATAATAATAATAATAATAATAATAATAATGAAAAATTACATCACCAAGTTAATAGTTTTTCTCAACGGCTATTTAGTATTTACCACTATATATATACAACTACACTTCATATATGAACGCACATTACAAACTTTTAAATAACATATTGTTTCACAATAGAAAAAAAAAAATATTCGAACTATTACTTATAACTACCATTTGACTAGTTATTTGGTACGCTTCGGAAATTTTCACAATATAGCATACTGCTGAATTTATATTCTCTCACTATATTCTATGTGTTAGGTCTTTGTCTTATTTGAGTTTTATCAGCCGTTCTGATTGGCTTAAAAATTTTGGTGTGAAATTATTATAGAAGTTGTTAATAATTATCTATCAAAATAATAATAATACATTATAACTCATAATTACATGTGAGGTAGAACAACAAAATTATAATATACAAGAAATCATGAGACATATTCCTTACCTTTCTAAAAACATATACATCACCCAACCCAAGTTAAACGGGCTAGCCCTACCGGATTTCGTGCTAAACGGTCCGGGCCTAAAAAAGGAGCTGCCAATAAAAGACTCTAACCTTATTTTTTTTCTAGGCTAAATGGACTGGCTCGTCGGACCAAGGACCATTTAACATCTCTAGTGACTATATGTGTCATTTTTTTTATTTTTTATTTTTCCTTTCGTAATAGATGATGAAACATGGGTTTGAAATGGATAACCTCAATCTTGGTAGAGGTACAGCATATATTTATTTTATAATAATCAGTGTGAATGATATGGTCATAAATTCGACCCCTGCACTTTTTTAGAGGCCCTTGGAGAGCCCGAAAGGCCATTTTTGCCAGGTCAGCAATCACACATGCATCCACGTGGCGTGATGATCCGCAGATTATATGTAGATGACTTTGAATTTGCACGCTTTTAGGATCTTGTCAGTTGTGATGCAAGGCCATGGACCCATTTGTTTGGCGTAATTCTTTCCTGTTAACTATTTTTATTAAACCTTTGAATGTCGTGTTAGTGAATTAAATAATTTAAACCACTATAATTCTGTTAACTATGTTGTTCCGCAAATAACTTATCTACTTAGTTTTTTTCAGCCCAACACGTTAATCCTAATAAAATAGCTCAATGTAGAAGCCTTTTTAGAAAATAGAATTTCTTTTAATTCTAAGTGCGTGCTTAATAAAAATATATCCGCTCAAAATAGATTTTTTTTAATTAATTAGAGTTAATTTTAAAAAAATTGATATGGTTAGTTGTAAAATTGATTTGATATAAAAGTAAGAGATATTGTGTGAAATGATAATTAGTTAAGGATATCTGAGTGAATGAACAATGGAATAGAGTTGATGCAATATGTAAAAATGACTGATTGATTTATTTAATTATATTGCTAATATTAAATATAATAGAGTTAGATTAAGATTGAGTTAGATTGTAAACATGAATTGAGTTACTTCTATACAAACACACCCTAAAAAATCTCAAAGTACAAGGATTTTATGTGAGAAGAAAAATTATTCTAACGTGTGTCACCCGCCAACATAGGCTATATTAGGTAAAACTAGCTGATAAGCTAGCTTATAGCTTATCAGTAATTTTTGAACCTATAGCTTATGACTTATAGCTGGAAAGCTAGCTTATATGATAAAAGTGTTTGGTAAAATTAGCTGATAAGCTAGCTGAAATAAAAATTTCAACGAGCTTATTTGAAAAGTTACACAAAGAAGCTTATGAGATAAGCTCGAGGTTTTTAAAAAAAATCGTCCTACCAAACGAAACTTATTTAAATACAGGAAACTTATAAGCTATAAACTAGCTTATTTGTCTACTAAACATAGGCTATGTTTGGTAAAACTAACTGATAAGCTAGCTTATAACTTATATATAATTTTTAAGCTTATAGCTTATGACTTATAGCTGAAAATCTAGCTTATATGATAAAAGTGTTTGGTAAAATTAGTCTATAAGCTAGTTGAAATAAAAAATTCAACTAACTTATTTGAGAAGTTACCTAAAGTAGTTTATGAGATATGCTCGAACTTTTTAAAAAAGCTCGTCCTACCACACGAAACTTATTTAAATACTGGAAGCTTATAAGCTACCCAAATAAGCTATAAACGAGCTTATTTGGCTTACCAAACATAATCATAGCCATAATAAGATTTCCAAAATAGCTTTACAAACAACTAATACATTATGTTATTAGTTAAATTCGATATCTTAATTCACTGTCAGCTATCTACTAATACAATCTTTGTTATTCACTATCACCTAATAACTGATAGCTAAACTGAACAATGTATATCACAAACTATGTGTTATGATATAGTAATTAGGCGGATTGAGATGCTATATCTTTGTAACAAAATCCTATTATATTATGATCATCATACTATTGATTATATTATTGTTTTTAAAAATGTGATGTATTAATTTAAAATTTATGTATCTGAGAAAATTACAAATTTGGTCCTAGAACTTTTGTTGTTTTCCACATTTGGTCCCATGCACGCCAATTATGGTCCTTTTTGAATTTTCATTGCCAAAGTGGTCTCACTCCGTCAAGACTTAACGGTCAACGTTTATAGCCTGGGACTAAATGTGGGAAACAACAAAAGTTTTGGGACCAAATTTGCAATTTTCTCAAAGAGTAAGTGATAAAAAATATTTAAATTTATTTTTATTTAAACATTTTTTTAAAAAGGTTTTAGTAAATGTTAAAAAGGTATATTACCATTATTTTCTAATAATACATTTAGTTTATTTTTTAATAAATTATAAAAAGATAAATATGACTAACATACAATTCTTTCACATTTTTTTTTAACTTAAATTAAAGTTTAACTTGATTTTTTTTACATAAAATGATTATTTAATTGAGTAACTTAACAAAAGATGTATAAAATAATTTTATTAATTAGTTCATGATAACTGAGATGCAAAAAAATATATGATATTTTACTATAAATAAGTGAGGGCAAATGTCTATTTTCACTTAATTTAATGCCAAATTTTGTTTTATTATGCTTAAAATTGAAATTTTTTATGTAGATGTAATTTGCATAAATAAATAGATTTTTCAATTTATAGTTGTCAAAATCAAATTGATAAATAAAAAATTATTAAAATAAAACTAGACAGTAATAAAAAAAATGTTTAGATTGGGTTTTTTTTTTAATTCGTATTATTTAATAAACTTTGTAAGGATATATATAAATTATCACATTATACTAATATTTAAAAGTGTAGACGGATTAGTATTATTGTAAGCATACTCACATTTTTTCTTATTTTGATAAATTGGTTTATGTCTTTTGGTTTGTTTTATTTAATTAAAATAATATTATTTCTAAATATTTTTTAATTTAAATAATATTCAAATAA